AAAATGTGAAAGTGGACGCAAAAAACAATCTGGAATTTCAGCTCAGCTTGCCGATTCCACTTTCTATACTGATATCCATTACAAGAACTGTATATTCTCTAACTGCAGTCTTATTTATTCTTTTGTATTTCTTTATCTTTGTCCACAACTGTATTTGTATGTTTTATTAGTTTTAGCTTCTGTTAGGTCTCAAGTTTACAAATCTCTTACCTTTTTTCTCAACTATTCTTACAGTTTTTGTTGTTTTATATTTATCTTTTATTATTATCATTATTTATTTCCAACATTATTAAAATTTAGTTTATTTTTCTTTTTGCTTTCTTTAATAATTTCACCCCAAACAAGGCAATAAGGCTGCTAAGATGAGGTTGAAACACAGAGTGAATGTAACTGAGAAAACATTATTAAAATGAAATGACAACAATAAGAGAATAGGATTCAAGGAGACAGCAGATGACAATTGACTTTGCATTTAAATTTTTGAAGATCATAGTTGATAGGAAAGCAAGCATCTGGAAGAGAGTTTTATAGTTGAGAAGTTCAAAAGAAGAAACTATCAGAATAGAATCTATAGTTATATCTAGCAGTTTCAACAGTAAAATGATGAGACCTAACTGACAATCTAGTACTTTGCTTAAATTCGTGAAGCTGACATGCCAAAAAGGAAAACTCATCAGAACAATTGCCATGAAAATATTTATAGAAAAGGAACAGGACAATTACATTATGGTGATGAGAAAGTTATTTATGCTGGTTGACAGGTCCTGACTGATAACATTGCAGATTATTCTTTGAATTTTGTGAGGCAATCTTTGCATTCTGTTGTTCTTTTACCTTTTATGCTTTAAATCTTGCTTCAATTTCTACCAGACTTTTTCTTTCAAGTATTTTTCATTCTTTTTATCTTTCATTTTTTCTTTCCATTTTTTTTTAGTTCTCTGTATCATTCTCATCTTTCATTTTGTTTTTTTTTATTCTTTTTTGTCCTTTTTCAGAAGTTTACATTTACATCTTCTATTTTTTTTCTCTCTTTTTCATTCTTTCTGTTTTCTTTCATTTCATAGTTCATCCTTTCTATATTTCTATTATTCTGTCCACATAATCCATTGTTCATTTCTGTGTTTATCTTTCTAATGATTTCTTCATTCTTCATTTCATTTACTTCTCTAATGACCTAAGACTTGACATTACTCCTCAAACAGCTGCCTACTGTTTTTATATAGTTTTTATTTCATTCTGATGACCACATTGCAAGCACTTGTCTTTGAATCTCCCACACCAGTCTCATATTCCTCCTTTTGACTTGAATCTCCTTCCATATTATTTGCATTTATCCAATTATTTTTCAGTGTTTTTTACATTTCTTTCTACAAGGGTGTTTGTCTGCTGTACAAATACATGTCAAAAACATCAACTCAGTAACTTTAAAGAAATATTTTTCTGTGTGTTTATGCCTCATTTCAAAGAGAGGTTATTTAGAAAAGCTAATGATATATTGTTTTTTAAATTTAATATTCTGGATGAACAGAAACTTTTATTTACTCTATCGGGTTATATTCTCTTTATATATGTCACAACTTGTTTTCTCCTTTCTAGGGAAATCTATAACTGTTAATTCTTGTTTTCTTTTTATTTACTGATAGTTCCCCCAGTACAAGATGTAGGCAATTTTGAACTCTGTCAAGTCCCTACAGTGTGAGGATTGGGTAGAACCAGCCCAGATTTGGCAGCAATACTCCATTCTTGGGCTGATTTGACTCTTATAAAGTAGAGCATGGCATTAGGTTATTTTCTGGAGCATTCCAATGTGGAATGCACAAGGAAGAGGAGGGACAGTGGAGTAATGGATAGTGGCTCAGATTGAGGAATAGGAGAGCCAAGTTCGAATTCCAGTCAAATCCATTACATTCACTTACATGCTAATACTCTTAGGAAAGGTATGAATCCTCTTCTCCCCCACCCAGCAAAGAGTAAATAGTAGGATAGATTGGATCCTATAGCCTTGGATGGCAACCTGTCTACCACAGAAAGAAATGGCAACCTACTGTGGAAAAAAAACCTGCCTCATCAGTCATGTATTGAAAGATACATGATCGTCTAAGCGTCTGCTATGCAAGGCACATAACTGACTGATTCCAATGAGCTGACCATTCTTTCAGGATCTTTTGACATGTCATGAATATACACATTCCATTTGAGTGGAAGTTTAACCCCCAGTAGGCATTTGAGCCAAGGAGGGTATGACCATGCATGAGGATTGGTGTGGGTCTAGGGTCTGCTTAGTAGGGCAGGTTGATTTTGGAACTGTGATATTGCATTTAATTTGAAAGTTGGGGATTTGACATGATAAAGAATGACATAAAATATTTTTTTTCAAAATTGTTAGAGTTTTTTCCAGGGAATGAGTTTAAAGATTTAGCTTAGGTTTAAAATCGAAGCATTGGAATTTCAATCCAGTGATATAGCACAGCTTTATAAAATTTATAATTTACTGAAGCTTTACAAACTCTATAATGGACAAGATGCAAGGCACATGCAGATTATTGTTAAATCATTGTGCTATCAAATAAGACCTTCATTTACTTCAAAGGAAGATTATACTGAACAATTTAGCTATATTAAGATTTGCAGATCACAACATCTATCAGAAAGATGAAATTTAAATTTTTATTGTTGCATTATTCCAAAATTTGAACACATCAGCAGATAGCTGTTAATGTCAACAACTGAGCTCAAGTAGTTATTAATTAAAAAAAATTATTAATTAATGTATAATATTATCCATAACTATATGTATAAGAATTTTTCATAAAAGTTAAAAAGTAACCATAAATACATAAAAAATGTATATATAGTCAAAAATTTCTTTTCCTACATTTGTGCTATGTTATAATGCTTATTACCTAAACAATAATAATACTGAATAATTTTTTTAAATGTTAAAGAATATTTAATCCCATCTTCCTAATATCTGTTGTGATCTGATAATATGTTATACAGTACAGTAGCTTTAATGTGATTTTCAATAAATAATGCAAATTTAAAACATTTTGTCTTATAATTTGTGCCCAGCAGTATTATGGTGTTATATACACTTTTATCTATTTTTTTGTTTTTATTTATTATGATCTAACAAATCGTATTAATTGAGTAGCCTTTTTTGGAATCTTTTACAATTTATTTTTACACAGTTTTTACTTATTGAATACAGTAAAAAAAAAAACTGCATATTTTGCTTGTGGTGATTCATAATTAAAATTCCATTCAATGTATCTAAGGCAAAAGATATCAACTTTATTTGGATTTATTCTTAAAATAGTAAAATTTTGAAGTAAGTTTATAAGCAAAAACCTACAGAAATGAGGTATTTCTGTACATTTTTTTCAGACGATCTTTAAAACTAAATGCCCCAAAATTGGTAAAAACTATGAATCTAATTTTTAGTATCAGTACTTATCACATCAACCTCCAGCTTTCACCCTAATTGCAATGTTGATTTTCTAATAAAAATGAAAAGTCAACCTACCCTACTTCTCAATGGTGCTGAAATGTTATGAGTTCAGTTTTGGATGTATTGAATAATATCATCCAGTCTTTTCCCCATTGAGCTTTGAGAGTCATGTTAGAGGATAGATCAGCTGATAGGCATTGGTCATGAAGATATTTGGAGGTGCACACATACACTGCAGTATCATCTACATATATTTTTACTAAACATATGAGAGATTTCTTGAGAAGATTGTTAATATAAACCAAAGTAAAGGTAGGACCAAGGAGAGAGCATTGAGTGACTCAAGTATTGATCTCTTGTGTCTGGTCATTCATAGACGTACCTGACAGGAAAAATTTGGTAACTGAGAGGATTTTACCACTGATTCCATCACTGGTCAGTTTGTGTAGCAATTCTCTTTATCACACATTATCAAAGACCCTTGAGATATCTAGGGCAATCACTCTTGAACTATCTTTTTTTAATTATCAACAGCTTGACTGATTCTATAAATGATAATAATTAAGGCATCAGCAGTGGATCTAGAAGAGTGAAAATCATACTGTTTGTCACTTATCATATTAATTTACCTCTCCACTCACGTGATATATATTTCTTCACTACTACAGCCATTTCTTTTTCTTCTTACTCTTTATTTTAAAATATCTGCTTTATAATGGTTATAATGAAAATTTGTACCCCCCAAGAAAGTACTTCTGCACTACCCAATCCAGAGATTGAACTTATAAATTCCAGGTAACCAGATGAATTTACCAATATTTTATTTATGAATTCATATTCCAGAAGGCATTCAGGTTAAGGCATATATTTATGAGCATAAAATGTAATGCCTGTGCATTCCTAATTAAAATAAAGTATTAAGATATTATGAAACCAACACAGCATTTTCTAATGTAAATGTAATTAATTTTAAGTGATGATCAGAAACATAGTCTGATATTCTTCTTTTATGTGCCATGTCGATTCTGGATGTTGGTAATCACAGCTCTCCACAATTTCCTGTCCTTTGTAGCTCTTCATAAATTTTATCTTTTTGTTACTTCTCCTAAACATTATTCCTTCATTCATTTACACAAGCTCACCAGGTAGGTTATGACTTGTTTTCCTCTGTCTCCTTTGCCTTCAATTTGTCCTGTGAGTATCAAATTTTCCAAGCCCTCTTTCCACATTATGTTCCTTAGAAGTTTTAACTGTCTCTTCCTGATGTTAACTATAGTGATTTTCCAAGCGTAGCTTAGATGTGGCACAAAGCCAAAAGTATGGGGCACCCAGTGAGAATCGTACTCACTACTCAATCATAATTGTTCTAGAGAGACAAGCTTGCTAACCATTACACTGCCCCAAGGTGCCCGCCTGATGGTAACTATAAGTGTCCTTTTTGCTTCCATTTTCTTTAAAACTTTGCCATTGCTCACATGTTCGGTCCATTGTATTCTCAGCACCCTTCTATACAACTACATTTCTATTGGAACTTATAGCCCCATCATGATAAAACACCCGTTCCAGTATGATCACCAAAGTTAAGCAATGTTGAGCCTAGTCAGTACCATGATGGGTGACAGCTTGTGAATACCAGCTACTGTAATCTTGAATGTACAGGTGGTGTAATGGATAGTAGCTCAGAATTGTTAATTGAGGAGCCAAGTTCCAAATCCAGTTGGGTTCGTTATATTCACCCTCAGAAAATGTATTAATCCACTTCTCCTCCCACCAGCTATGGGTTAATTAGTAGGAATTGTATCAGAAAATCATTATTATCCTCCACAAAAATTCTTGTTGGGGCTTTACACACCACATCATGATGAAACACTAGTTCCAGTATGATCCCTGAAGTTAAGCAATGTTGAACCTGATCAGTACCTAGATGGGTAACTGCTGAGGAATACCAGGTGCTGTAAACTTGGATATATTCAGAATGAGAAACTGGAGAGCCAGGTTTGAATTTCAGTCAGGTCCATTATATTCAATTACATGCAAATAGCCTTGGGAAAGGTATGAATCCATCTCTTCTCCCATCAGCTATGGGTTAAATAGTGAGACTTGTATTAGAAAATCATTATTATCCCCAAAAAATTCTTACAATCCAAAATATGTTTCAATTTTGAATAACCACAAAAAGGTTGATAAGTCATAAAAAACAAATCAGTCAATCAATCATAACCCTATAATCATCACTTATTTCCCTCTCTTCAGTTCTAGTGTCAATCATTATCTATCCTCCATAACCTTACGGTTTATGGGCATATTATGCTGAAACACTGGTTCTCATACATTTATCAAAGTTAAGCAATGTTAAATCTGGTCAGTACCTAGATTCCTAGAGGAATGCCAGGTGCTGTAAGCCTGGATATACATGTAGTGTAATGGATAACATCTTGGAATGAGAAATCAGAGAGCCAAGTTTGAATTCCAGTTGGGTTTGTTATATTCACTTATGTGTAAATACCCTTAGGAAAGGTAAGAACCCAACTCTTTTACTCCGAGCTATGGGTTAAATAGTAAGAATTGTATTAGAAAATCATTATTATCTCAAAAAAATCATTATTAACTCCAAAAAATTCTTACAATCCAAAAATATATTTCAGCTTTAAATAACCTCAGAAAGGTTGATAAGTTGTAAAAAAAAAAACAAATCAATTCATCAATCATAACCCTATAATCATTACTTATTATTTCCTTCTCTTACATTCATATCACACACCTCATTTAGTAACCTTCTACCTTGGGTGGCTCTTGGGCTTTGTATTGAGTGAATATTAGTAAAAAAGAAAAAAAAAATGGATCAGGTTATGTTTATTAAACACCCACAACATAGGAAATTTCATTGTTTTATTAGATTAATGAAAGATATTATTTTTGATTATGTTTGAAAATTTATCTTAAGGTTAATTCCCCTTCAACCATTTTCCCCAAAATGAAAGATAATTAAAACTGACAACTTCACTTGATGAATGACACCTTCAGCCTCGACTAATAACGTACTGGGATTTAGTACACAAAGCTTTTCAGCGAGGTGAAGTGGATGTTGAGCCAGAATGGATTTCTTTGATCAACATTGCAATTCTGAAGCTTGAATCAACCATTTTAACAAAATGCTCCCTAATCAGATTTGACATGTTTACTGTAAGAGTCACACTATCTTCTCCGACTAGTAAGATGTTAGTAGAATTTAGTACACATGAAATTTTACAGGTCAGTAAGTATTCTCATTGTTCTAGTAATTGGTATGTCATGTCCTGTAAGTGCTGCTTCTCTTTCAAAGCTTGTATGTGGAAACTTTGTGACGAATGCCTCGAATACTCCATCAAGCATTGCACATTTGAAGAGGCATAAAAGAAATCAATCAGTCCAGAAATAATGTAAACTTTTGATGGAAACATCTGTGAGGTAGGGATTACAAACTCTTGAACATCATTTGTATGTGAAAGATGATAAAACCTGCCAGTTAAGGCCAGAGTATACAACACGCGCAGCCACTTAGAAGCCTAACCAACAGAAATAAATGCTGTTATAAGGCTATAGTTGACAATGCTTGAAATCATCCCAGGAGAGTTTCAACAATGTTTAAGAGATTCATGTATAAGAAATTACATAAAATTAAGAATTTTCTTATTCAGAATAATACTTATGATTTGATAACAATGGACAAGTCAGGAGAATGATAGGTGTCTTATTTCATGTTCAAAGCAACACATAACAAATATAATATCTATTCAAAAAGCCTTGTCAGCAACAAAATAAAAAAAACAGACAATATAAACAAAAACAATGATCACAATATGAATTACAATATATAAAAAATAATTTTTTCCCCCAAAAAAAGTTTAACCAGAGTATTTCTGGAAGAGAATATTTTTAACTCTTTGAGTCCTGACCACTGCTTTACCAGTGGTAGAGAAAAATGATGTAATGCCCAGCCACCAGTTGAACATTGGTAGAGAAAAATGACTTAATGCCCAGCCGCTGGTTGAACATTGGTAGAGAAAAATCACTTAACATTCAGCCACCAGTTGAACAGTGGTAGAGAAAAATGACTTAATACCCAGCTACCTGTTGAACAATGGGTAAACACTTGTAACTATTTTTATATCTACCATGAAACATTATATACCAATTATTTGCGAATTTTGACTCAGGAGCTCAGGCAAAAGGGTTAAAATTGTTCAGAAACACAGGGCTCAAAGAGCTAAGGCAAGTAGTCTTTGTACTTAGAGTGCTCACTATCAAGAGATAGCATTAATAATAAGAAATAAAATTAACTGTTCTTTTATCTTGTCCCTACTCAATGCTTTACAGAACCTACATCTACTTTTAGATATATTCTTCCCTATGTCCCTTCATAATGTGGATGATCATGGCTCTCCACAACTTCTTATTCTTCATAGCTCTTATCAGTGTTTGTATTTTAACTGTTCCGCTCATTTTGTTCTAATATCTTCCTTTTGTCTCTCTGTATGTCCTGTAAGTGTTAAATTCTCCAAGACCTCTTTCTTCATTATGTCCCAGAAATTTTAACTTTTTCTTTCTGATGCTAAGTATAGCATGTGCAAAAGTAGCTATACAGTTAAAATGTTCATACAAAATTGTTATATACTGTACCTATGAATACTAATGGGTATGTCCCAATCCTCATAAATACATTGGACTCTATTGTAAGAGGGGATAATATGCTGTCTAAGTAGTCCACCACTAGTAGTGGTTTACCTACTTCATGCCACTGGTGAGTATTATATTTTGGTGTTGTTATAAAGATTACCATTTCATTTCCAACCTTCATTTTGGTTATTCCTCATTCAGTAACTTTTTCTAGGTTACAACAATAACTCAACAACAAAGGATTTGTGGACATATGTTTATATAGACAGTTTATCTTGTTTTGGAGTCAGGGACCCTCCCCCTACCCAGTTTGTAAAATTATTTTTGGATTTTATCTTGGATTGTAAATTTAACAGCATCTACCATAAACTTTAAAGTTATTAACTGTTATATACCAAACTATGAACACCAATGGGTATGTCTCAATCCTCATAAATACGATGGACACTATTGTAAATGGTGTTAATATGGTTGTCTAAGTAGTCCATCACTAGCAGTGGTTTACCTGCTTCACGCCGCTGGCGAGTATTGTATTTTGTTGATGTTATAAAGATTACCATTTCATTTCCAACCTCTGTTTTGGTTATTTCTCATTCAGTAACCTTTCGTAGGTTATAACAAAAATGTATTGATTATACAAACATAATACTGGTATGCCACTTACTGTATACGTACTTTTTCACTCCCCTGTATAATATTTTATTCTCATTTTCTTAAAAGCTTTTCTCATTGCTCAGTTCATGGTATTCTCAGCATCCTTCTGTAGAACCAAATATTTGATTCCTTCAGACATCTCTCCATCTGTGAGGAAATTGTTGAGCATTCACTGCCATATAGAATTTTTGCACTCTTTTCTAAGTTTCTATTTTTAGAGTCTTTACTCTAATATTTTCTTTTTCCTGTTCATTTTCTAGAAATATTTGATTCTGCTGTACAAATCAACTTAAGGAAGCACCATAGCATATTTTGTCTTCTTTGTTTGGTGCTGTATCTCCCCCCACATGGATCATTTCTTATCAGCAATAGCTTAATGGAAAAAATAAGTAGAAAATATTGTTTGACAGAATTTTGATGCATACTGGGATTTCTTCCAAGCCAATAAGAGAGGACACTTCTCAGTCTCATCTGCCATATTCTTGTTCTTTTCTGTTTTGAAATCAGAATTCTATGATCACTTTTATGTATCCCTTTTGTGGGTTAACACCATTCTTAGATTGTGACCCTTTTTGCCTCATTACTGTTGCTTTGCTACTTTTGTCTTACATATATTGTTCGCTTAGTATTATTTTTTCCCTCTTGTAAACAGTTCTGTTTATTGAGCATTTCTGCCAAATACATTTAATAATGGCCAATTACTCTACACTAAGAATACATGAATATGGCTTATGTTGTGATATGATGATGAAATTAATATTTTTTTTACATTTGAAGTAAATATTTATAAGATATATAAAACTCGAGTTCATCTCAGAAAATTTATTTACTTTTAGTTTTGTAGCAAAGGTATATAGATTTTAGGTGTTGCCAAAGTTTGTGACAGGAAATGTTTAAGATTTTAAAAATTTGTCCTGAAAATCATTTACAAATTCATGAAAACCAAAATAAAGAGATTGATTTAAAAGTGAATAATGACCAGAGAGACATCAAAGAGAATAATAGCAGAAAGAAAGATTAACACAAATTCTTTTAAAATTCTTTGAGATCATTTAAATGATGTTCAGAACAAGTTCATATTAGTTCAAGAGGTCTACAATAATATCATTATATTAATGGCTTCCCTATACTTTTGATATATATATATATATATATATATATATATATATATATATATATATATATATATATATATATATATCTTACAGTAATTAAATCTATTGGTTTCATTATATTAATGGCCTTGATATACAGTTATTCTTGATGATGGTAATGGTGTTTTCTTTTGTATTGTTTCTCTCTAATAAACATTTCATTAAACTTTCATTTTATCTATTTATTTATTCATTCAAGTTCAAGTAGAATGTGAGATAAACGAATGATGCATATAATAAGAATTGAACTCATTACCTATGGCTAACCAACTGAGGTTGCCAACCCTCACACCATGCAAGTCATCTTTTTGCAGGTTTAAATTTAACAAATGTTTTTTGTCATAAAGGTGAAAAAGATAGTTTCCAATTTGTCTTGTTTAAGAGAAGTAAAGAATCTGCTTTGAAATTAGTTTTTTAAGTTGTGCTTTTTTGCCATTGAAATTCTACATCATTTATTTTGATAAAAAATATTTGTAAACTCAAGAAAATGAAAG